AACATTAATACATACATACGTTTCACTTCTCCTGTCCTACTTGTACTGCTTCACCCTCCACCTCCACTTTTAACTTTACGAAGTATTCTAAGCTCAGGACCACATGAACACTAGCTCCGAGGGGCCTTCCATATGTGATATCCCGAATGTCTGAGCTTCTCAAGGTAAACATGAAGTCCAGCCTTGCTGGTTCATCCTCTCCTCTGTTCCTCTCTCTCTCTCTGGTAGTGTACCTAATATGTTGATGCATGAGATTTTCCAGTACCTCCTCCATCAACTTAGGCCTCCACATTTCTGGTCTCCCATATGGGTCCAGGTTTTCCCAGCCAGTCTACTTGTGATTGAAATCATCCATCTGGTAACTTTGCCCTGCTCATGTGGGCCCTTCTGGCCACCTCACCTATTGTCTTAACCATTGTTCTGTTGCTCTCATTGTGCTCTTGTCTTGGCCTCCTGCTCTTTGGTGGGTTGTACATCACTGCAATCACCACTTTGTATGAAGTGTTCCTATTATGTAGACCCTTGCTTCCCTTCAGTTCACTCTTTCCAGCTCTTCACATCACTGGTTTCTGATGAACAGTGCAACTCCTCTTCCTCCCCATCTGTTTTTCTCAGGATCTGATATCCATTTGGAAAGATCACGTTTGTATTCCTGTGAGCTAGGGAGGCCTGGCAGGATACTATGGGAGGCTGCTGTGTAGATGAGGGTTTGTGCTGGGGGGGTGTTGTGAGTGCCAAATGTGGTTTGTTTAGGGTTAATTTGTTTGACTGCAGTGTTCTGTTCATGGTTCTATGGGAGAGTGTGTTTGCTAGTCCTCTTGACCCTGGGTGCCCCTGCCTGTCTATTGCCCTGTCTCTCTTGCCTCTTACGTCTTTGTATCCTCTCAGTTTCTGTCATTCTGTTCGTATTCTGTCACAGTCAAGGTACACCTACTAGTATATTGTTCCCTATAGCTGTTTTTTCTGCTACAGGATCCTGTGTCACATTGATTCTGTCTTGAAAATCAATTTAATTAGCCAATTTTTTTTCCCTCGAATATCCTTCTATTCTCTGAAAATTTGTCAGCTCGGTCATGTCCTCCTCTCTTGTTTGTTTGGTGATATTCTCAATCTCTTTTTCCTCTCCCTTTCATTCTTCATTGCATGTACTCTCTTTGGCCTCCTAAAGCTTATGAATAAAAATTAACCTCTCCCTTCCCTCTTCCCATTGCTTTTCCCTCTGCATCTCTGGGTCCGATTTAAGCATAACCATTGCTGCTTCCCTTATCATTTCCTGGATTTCTTGGTGGCCTGATAGTGCCCCTGCACTGGACCTATCACCTTCCATGTCTACAGTCCCATCCCCACTGTTTCTGTACCCAAAGGAATGCCATTTTCATTCCTCAACATTTCTTGAGTCTCCTGGTAGCCTGATAGGGCCTCTGCATAGGAGTTATCTCCTTTCTTTTCTTTGGTCCCCTCACTGGATATTGGCACTTCTGCTCCTGATGCCACTTCTGTTCTTTGCCTTTATATCATGCTTCAGCATTTTCAGCTCATCTTCTATGCTCTGTATCATGGCCTCTGTAGATTCGGCTTGTAGCTCTCACTTCTTGCTCTCTGCATCCATCCTCTCATCCATTTTAGTGATAAACTCATCTAGCTTCCTTGCTACTCTTGTTCTATTGTTCTCTTTACCTCTTCCATGTGTACTCACCTATGTGTGGTTGCAGGGGTCGAGATTCAGCTCCTGGCCCAGCCTCTTCACTGATCACTACTAGGTCCTCTCTCTCCCTGATCCATAAGCTTTATCATACCTCATCCTAAAATTATGTATGGTTCCTGCCTCCGCTACATCACTTGCCAGACTATTCCACTTCCTAACAACTCTATGACTTAAGAAATAATTCCTAGCATCCTTCTGACTCATCTGAGTCTTCAACTTCCAATTCTGACACCTTGTTTCAGTGTCCCATCTCTGGAACATCCTGTCTCTGTCCACCTTATCTATTTCTCACAGTATTTTGTATGTCGTTATCATGTCTCCTCTAACCCTCCTGTCCTCCAGTGTCGTTAGGCCGATTTCCCTTAATCTTTCTTCGTAGGACATTCCTCTTAGCTCTGGAACTAGCCTTGTTGCAAACCTTTGCACTAAGTTTCGTGGTGTGCTTGACCAGTTGTGGGTTCTAAACTGGTGCTGCATACTCCAGTATGGGCCTGACGTATACGGTGTACAGAGTCTTGGACGATTCCTTACTGAGGTATCGGAACGTTATTCTCAGGTTTGCCAGGCGCCCATATGCCGCTGCAGTTATCTGGTTGATGTATGCTTCCGGAGACGTGCTCGGTATTACACTCAATCCAAGATCTTTCTCCTTGAGTGAGGTTTGCAGTTTTTGGCCACCTAGCCTATACTTTGCCTGTGTGTGTGTGTGTGTGTGTGTGTGTGTGTGTGTGTGTGTGTGTGTGTGTGTGTGTGTGTGTGTGTGTGTGTGTGTATGTGTGTACCCACCTATTTGTACTCACCTATTTGTGGTTGCAGTGGTCGAGTCTTAGCTGGCCCCGCCTCTTCACCGGTTGCTACTGGGCCCTCTCACTCCTCGCTCCATGCGCTTTATCAAACCTCGTCTTAAAACTATGTATGGTTCCTGCCTCCACTACGTCACTTTCTAGGCTATTCCACTGCCTGACAACTCTATGACTGAAGAAATACTTCATAATATCTCTCTGACTCATCTGTGTCTTCAACTTCCAATTGTGACCTCTTGTTTCTGTGTCCCCTCCCTGGAACATCCTGTCTTTGTCCACCTTGTCTATTCTGTGCAGTATTTTATATGTCGTTATCATGTCTCCCCTGACCCTCCTGTCCTCCAGTGTCGTCAGGCCGATTTCCCTTAACCTTTCTTCATAGAACATTCCCCTTAGCTCTGGAACTAACCTTGTCGCAAACCTTCGCACTTTCTCTAGTTTCATGACATGCTTTATCAAGTGCGGGTTCCAAACAGGTGCTGCATACTCCAGTATGGGCCTGACGTACACGGTGTACAGTGTCTTGAGCGATTCCGTACTAAGGTATCGGAACGCTGTTCTCAAGTTTGCCAGGCGCCCATATGCTGCAGCAGTTATCTGGTTGATGTGTGCTTCCGGAGACATGTTCGGTGTTATACTCACTCCAAGATCTTTCTCCTTGAGCGAGGTTTGCAGTCTCTGGCCACCTAGCCTATATTCTGTCTGCGGTCTTCTGTGCCCTTCCCCCATCTTCATGACTTTGCATTTGGCGGGATTAAATTCGAGAAGCCAGTTGCTAGACCAGGTGTCCAGTCTGTCCAGGTCTCTTTGAAGTCCTGCCCGGTCCTCATCTGATTTAATTCGCCTCATTAACTCACATCATCTGCGAACAGGGACACTTCTGAGTCTAACCCTTCCATCATGTCGTTCACATATACCAAAAATAGCACTGGTCCTAGGACCGACCCCTGTGGGACCCCACTCGTCACAGGTGCCCACTGTGATACATCATTATGTACCATGACTCGTTGTTGCCTCCCTGTCAGGTATTCTCTGATCCATTGCAGTGCCCTTCCTGTTATACGCGCCTGATCCTCTAGCTTCTGCACTAATCTCTTGTGAGGAACTGTGTCGAAGGCCTTCTTGCAATCCAAGAAGATGCAGTCAACCCACCCCTCTCTCTCGTGTCTTACTTCTGTTACTTTATCATAAAACTCCAGAAGGTTTGTGACACAGGATTTGCCTTCCATGAATCCATGCTAGTTGGCGTTTATACTCTTGTTCCGTTCCAGGTGTTCCACCACTCTCCTCCTGATAATCTTCTCCATAACTTTGCATACTACACACGTAAATGACACAGGTCTATAGTTTAGTGCCTCTTTTCTGTCTCTTTTTTTTAAAAATGGGAACTACATTTGCCGTCTTCCATACCTCAGGTAGTTGCCCAGTTTCCAGGGACGTGTTGAAGATTGTGGTAAGTGGCACGCACAGCATGTCCGCTCCCTCTCTTAGGACCCATGGGGAGCTGTTGTCCGGTCCCACTGCCTTTGAGGTATCGATGTCCCTTAGCAGTTTCTTCACCTCCTCCTCATCTGTATGTATGTCGTCCAACACTTGTTGGTGTATTCCTTGCTGGTGTCCCCATCTGGTCTGTCCCCCCAGAGGCCTTCCTGTCTCTACTGTAAATACTTCCTTGAATCTCATGTTGAGCTTCTCACACACCGAGCATGTCTCCGGAAGCACACATCAATCAGATAACTGCTGCAGCATATGGGCGCCTGGCAAACCTGAGAACAGCATTCCGATACCTTAGTAAGGAATCGTTCAAGACACTGTACACCGTGTATGTCAGGCCCATACTGGAGTATGCAGCACCTGTTTGGAACCCGCACTTGATAAAGCACGTCAAGAAACTAGAGAAAGTACAAAGGTTTGTCACAAGGTTAGTTTCAGAGCTAAGGGGAATGTCCTATGAAGAAAGATTAAGGGAAATATGCCTGACGACACTGGAGGACAGGAGGGTCAGGGGAGACATGATAACGACATATAAAATACTGCGTGGAATAGACAAGGTGGACAAAGACAGGATGTTCCAGGGAGGGGACACAGAAACAAGAGGCCACAACTGGAAGTTGAAGACACAAATGAGTCAGAGAGATATTAGGAAGTATTTCTTCAGTCATAGAGTTGTAAGGCAGTGGAATAGCCTAGAAAATGACGTAGTGGAGGCAGGAACCATACACAGTTTTAAGACGAGGTTTGATAAAGCTCATGGAGCGGGGAGAGAGAGGGCCCAGTAGCAACCGGTGAAGAGGCGGGGCCAGGAGCTAAGACTCGACCCCTGCAACCACAAATAGGTGAGTACACACACACACACACACACACACACACACACACACACACACACACACACACACACACACACACTTATCTTTTAGTGTTGTACAACAGAAGAGAATGAAGATTACTTAATCAGAAAGCAATAGAAGTTTATAAGTGTGTACATTCTGGAGGCTCGTGTGGATGAGGAGCTGCGGTCTATCTTCGGCGACTCAGACCGTCCAGTGACCATGGCTGACCTGCGTGAGATGAAGTACACCGAAAACTGCATCAAAGAGGCTCTCAGACTCTTCCCTTCTGTGCCTATACTGGCCAGGGAGCTCAAAGAGGAGGCTGTCATTGGTAGGCATCAAATTATTTTTCTTATTATTATCAAGGGGAAATGCTAAACCCGTAAGGGTCATCTAACGCCTAGAAAAAATGAAAGGAATGAGGCATGATCAGAGGAAGGGGAGGGGTAGCTCCAATTCCTTTAATCAAGAGCGTTCCTCCAGCATCCAAGGATGGAACAGACAGAAATATCTCAAAATTAACTTGTTTTTGACACTTTAAAGTAATTCTTTAATTATCAAAATGTTGCTCATTTGGCTTCTAAGTAGATTTTGAATCTATGTTAAGACTGAAGTGCTAATATTGCATTATTCGTACAGGTTTCGAACATGAAAATAATGCTGTTATTATGTAATTTTTGTTTTAGATTGTTTAATAAGAATTTTTTGTTGCATTCTTTGCATTATAAATATAGTAGCTATTAATTACTGAAAATTTTCCAGATAACTATCGTATCCCAGTTGGCACCACTGTGATAGTGGTGACCTACTGTCTCCACCGTGACCCTGAACAGTTTCCCAAACCGGAAGTCTTTGACCCGGATCGCTTTTTACCGGAGAATGTCAGCAAGAGACATCCCTACTCTTACATTCCTTTCAGCGCTGGACCCAGGAACTGCATCGGTGGGTGGATCACAGGTTCTGTGTCAGTCAAATAATCAAACATGTAAAAAGAATACAAAAATGCGGTGTCATTTTTTTCTGATATTAACTTTGTACATTTATGGTGTTATTCACCTGTACGTATGTTGACAACACGATCTGCAGTTTATGGAATTTTGTGATGAATGGTTTTGAAAACCGAAAAGTTGAAGAATTGAGACACTTATGCAACACATGGGAATCTTTATTGAAGAAACGTTTCGCCACACAGTGGCTTCATCAGTCCAATACAAAGTAGAAAAGGGTAAGGTGAGGAGAAGTTTCAGGTAATCAGTCCCTCAACCTGGAATCGATGTGTTCAGTCCATCACTCTTGTAGGAAATGCAGCATAGGGCCAGAGAGGTGACTTATATACTACTTACACAAGTGGCAGGTCCCACTGTGATCCCGCCTCCTCCTGCTTCACCTCATCTCACTGCAGTATATAAGTCACCTCTCTGGCCCTATGCTGCATTTCCTACAAGAGTGATGGACTGAACACATCGATTCCAGGTTGAGGGACTGATTACCTCAAACTTCTCCTCTCCTTACCCATTTCTACTTTGTATTGGACTGATGTAGCCACTGTGTGGCGAAACGTTTCTTCAATAAAGATTCCCATGTGTTGCATAAGTTTCTCAAATATGGCATTTTATTGAGAAGAAATTTCTCCCACCAGAAACTTTATAAATTGAAAAACACTCTGAGGGATGAAACGTTTCAATAAAGCGACATAAACCTCATATTATGTCTTATTAACATGACGTTAACTTTTTATATGGTTCTCAGTGTGGTTCTCAGTGTGGTTCTCGGTGTGGTTCTCGGTGTGGTTCTCGGTGTGGTTCTCGGTGTGATTCTCGGTGTGGTTCTCGGTGTGATTCTCGGTGTGGTCCGACACTCAGTGGTAGCACTTTCAGTTCACAATAGGAAGATCTGAGTTTAAGAAATAAGACACATGTGCACAATCAAGACATTTATTGGATGCCTTGCTTGTGCACATGTGTCTCAATCCCAAAATCAGTCGCTATTAACATACCTGTTTTTGTGCTTGGATTTATATCTGGGCAGGTGGAGATGTATGGGAAGATCTCACCCTTGTTTCCTTTGTTTGCTCAGTAGTGTGGTTGTTAGCTGGTTGTTGTGGGTCTCCATCCTGAGTTTTGGCTGGGTTTTGAGAGGAGCTGAGATTGCACAGCAGCCTTGGCCTGTAAATTCAGCAGTGTGGCTTTATTCTTCCCTTCGAATTTATTTTAAAGTTAGGAGAAAAAATTGTCCACTGCATATAATTTTAACTGTGGAAAAGTACTACCAATTATAAACTAAATTACCCTTACAGCTTTAGTGTTCTTTTCTGATTGTAACAATTATTTCCTTGTGAAGAATAATTCACATTGTGATCCTCTAGTTGAACCACCACAGTTTTATCCTCCCTCGAGGGGCTCTTTACATCTGATGAAAGGCTCGTGATTCATGGAGTTGAAGCTATACTCCCATTCCTTTGATTAAACTGATTGCCTTCCATTGCGCTTCCCCATCAATATAATAATACAGTGCAGCCTAGGGTGGTCCTGCTGTAGCTGAATCAATATTGGACTGCAAAAACGTGGGTCCACTTACTTCTTTCATATTGTATGAGGCAGCTGCCTACCTCGGCTTAATTCTTCTTGTTGATAATTTCTACCTCTTATTGTAATCATGAACATCGTTGTCTAGAACATCATCCATCATCATTTTGTAATCATTGCAATAACTTTGTGCATCTATGATAAGGAGACACATAAGTAGTTAAATGAAACCTTTATTAACCACGTCGAGCCCAAGCAATAGACTTTGACGATCAAACATGCAAGCAAACACTAAGGGAATTTTAACTTAAAAATGTTCAGGTCGTAGGACCTTGAACACTCGTACTATACGTAGGACAGAAAACATCTGTATAATAAGGAAAGAAATAAGTGATTGAAGGAGGAGTTGTGAGATCAAGTGAGGAGCTGCGGTGAGGTCACCTGATGGCTTGTGTCTGAAGGTGAATAATGATTCAGAATCACACGAGCCAGAGTAACAGTGATGTTATAACTTCCATATATTTATGAATTTTCTTCTATTTTCTTCCAGGCCAGAAGTTTGCACTTATGGAGGAGAAGATCTTGGTGAGCAATATCCTGCGGAAGTACCGTGTAGAGAGCGTCACTCGCCGAGAAGACTTGCGTATTCTGGGAGAGCTCATTCTCAGGCCAGAAAATGGCAACATTTTGAAACTAACTCCCAGAGCATAAGAAGAATTTCATGAAGCTACGTTAGACGACCTGGATAGTTAGTAAAGAGTTTTGTATCTTAAAGGATCAGTGAGGTCATTTTTAATTTGAAGAATGAGTTTGCAATACAACTTATCATAGTTATAGAAGATGAGAACATTGTCAGTGTGCAGCAGCAATGCAGCAGATATTACCTTTCTCTCACTCTCTTGTGGCTTAATAGTATTTAGATCCTGCAGCTTACTGTCATATACACTGAAAATGACTTGGAAAAAGACATTTATGTATAGTTCAGAACGTTTATTAGAGGAAACGTTTCGCCTCAAGTGGCATTTTCAGTCCATTAGAACTGAAGGAGCCAATCGTGGCGAAATATTTCCTTTCATAAATGTCCTGAGCTGTACATAAGAGTATTTTTCCACATCTTGTGGGCATTGCCATACCCCTTTTTTCACTTGAAGAGATAGTATGGACCAGGTGTCAAGACGAATAAATTCTTTCATAATTACACCAGTCCTCGTTCGATTATTATTATTATTATAATCAAAAAGAAGCGCTAAGCCACAAGGGCTATACAGCAGTCCTCGTTCGAAAATTTTTAACTGTGCTATTATATCTTTTAAATGTCTTTCTGATCACTTTGCATATATGATCTGGCGCTGTGAGATGTTTGCAGGAAAATCTACGTAACGACTTTTCGTTCAGAACTGAACTTTATTGAGTTTATTGAAGTTCAGTCCTGAACGAACCGTCGTAATAAAGGTTTGCCAGTAAACACAAAGTCTTTCTCATTACCTGTTAACTTACACCATCGTCTATCTGTTTATGATGTTGCTTAGAAATTCCACATAAATAGATCTCACTGCTTACCAGCTAAGCATATGAGAAATACTTCACACTTATTTGTATTTAAATAAAGATGAAATTTCGTCTCATATTTTTCACATGTGTGAAACATTAGCGTCAAGACTTTTGATTATTACAAGATCGACACCATGCCTAACCCTTCTAGGGTAGGGTAGGTGCCTGAGCCCGAGCCTTTAGCTCATAAGACTGTCATTTCCATTAGCCCCCTTGGGGCGGGGATGGCAGACCAGAGAGGCCTAGCTTGTGGCTAGGCCTGGGGACAGTTGGTCCCAAAGATGAGGAGGTACTTGTGCCTCCTCCCATGGGAGACTTAGGTCTCAGACACTCCCTAAAGAGGGAGTCAAGGCCGGGCCACCACTTGGAAAAGGCCCGGGCCGGGAATACCGGCTAATCTTTAATAATAATAATAATAATAATGATTATTACAAGAATGGCAGATCATTTGCATGCCCAAATAAAATCAGTAAAGCGAGAAAATGATCATTAGAATGTTAATAAATTTTCCTCATGTGTTTTGTTTTATTTGCCATGTGTTATTTAATCATTTTATATATTGTACAAAATTTAACTTGGGACATCCGGTTGGAGTCTCTTGACCTGTGTTCTCTCGAACGCGGGATGCATCATAATCTACACCTGGAAAATCCTATAGGGACTGGTCCCAAATCTGCACACAGAAATCACTCCCTACGAAAGCAAAAGACTAGATAAACGGTACAACATACTCCTGTTGTTAGGTAAGACACATATGCAACGGTTAGGTATCTTTATTTTGAAACGTTTCGCCTACACAGTAGGCTTCTTCAGTCGAGTACAGAAAAGTTGATAGAAGCAGAAGAGACTTGAAGACAACATACTCCTAATGAAAAACAAGGGCGCCATGAGTACGGTAGGAAAAAACGCAGTAAGTGTCCGAAGCCCAAGACTGTTCAACAGCCAGTACCCCTGGCTGTCTTCAAGACGGAGCTAGACAGATAAATAAAGTAAGTACCCGATCAGTCGGGCTGTGGTTTGTACGTTGGGCTACGTGCTGCCAGCGGTAACAGATTGGTTGATCATCCCTGATCTACCGGGAGGCCTGGTCAAAGACTGGGTCACAGTGGCGTTTGATCCTCTGAATGTCCTCTAGGTAGGCAGGTATAGGGGGTGCCTTGATGTTGTTGGTGGGCTCTTGATACAAGAAATTAGAGCTCCCAGGAGCAGCTTTTGAAAATTGACCACTGTCTGGAAAATCTCCCAACTCCTGCCCTAGACATCTTACTACTAGGAGATTTCAACTTGAGACACCTGAAATGGAGGGGTATAGCAAACAGTGTCTTAGCAGAGATCACCGCAGGAGGCAGCTCAGATGAAAACTCACACACACACTAACTATTAAATCTCTGCACCAAAGTCACCGATGACACAAAGATAGGTAGGATAATTGATTCAAACGTAGATGTTATGGAACTTCAGGAGGATTACACAATGGAAATATAAACACAAATGCAGTATAATGTGATCCTTTATTGACAACGTTTCACCCACGCAGTGGGCTTTTTCAAGTCACACACGGATCTACCTGGGGTTGGAAGGTACGGGAGTATTTATAGTTCAGAACGTTGAGGTCAGGTGAAGATTGCTGCATCAGATGATCTACCGGGTGGGGTTATAGAGTCTTGGGTAGCTAGGCGGGGATATTGGACAAGTTGTGAGTAGACCTTCTGCAGTGTTCTATGTTCTTATGTGGGATAGCGATGAAGAAGTTTCTTGGCGAGTGGTTCAGCTATGCTATTTGAAGCCATTGTTCTGGTTGAAATTGTTGGTTATAGAGATAAACGATGATTCCCGGATTTTTCTGTATTTAGTGTTGTTTCTGTGGCTATAAGTCTTGAGTTTCTGTAGTTGATTAAATGGGTTTTGTGAATTGCGATGTTGTACACAGGTATTTCCCTTTTATCGTCAGTCCTGCTGCATATTGGTGTTCTGAAATACGTGTTTTGGGGGTTTTCTGATGTTTTGCCCACATATAATTTGTTGCAGTCATTACAAGGGATTATGTATAACCCCTGCAGAGGATGGAGGCTTGTCCTGTCTACTACTGGTGATGTCCTTGATGGTCGTGGTTGTGGAGGTAGATACTTGGAATGATGTTTTGGCAAAGAGTTGGAAACATTTTTGGCAATGGATTTTTGGGGGGGGAAGGACTATGTAATCTCTTTCGGAAAGGTTTTCTCTGGGTGTTTGAAGATTTTTAAAAGGGCCCCCGGTTGCAGTCTCTGATAAAGGGTGACGAGGATAGGGGATTTTTGGAAAATACTTGTTAAATTTATAGTGCATTTTTCCCCCAAAGGGAAACCCTCGTTGCTCCCGGGTTTCGAGTGCACGCAGGAAGAAGCCTTTTAATTACCCCACTTTTGGTTTTTGGGTGTCGGGGTGAAGAAAGAAGTGGAGAAAAGATCTTTTTGGGTTTGGGGTGGGTTTTCGATAGATTTTTAAAAACAAAGTTCGGGGTTTAAGTTTTGCTGAGTAGAACATAAAGGGAAAAGGAAAAGTTTTGCCCGACTTCTTCTTAAGTGTAAATTTTGGATTGAAGGCCCCAAACCGGGTTTTTTGGCTTGCCCTTTGGAGACCCTTGAACGGGAAGCTTTTTGGAGTTATGGGGAGAAGGCGTCAACAAAAGGGGACCGGGGTTGACAGACAAGGGAAATTAATGGTGGAGAAACTTTTGGGCTTCTAGATTTTCCATTATGGGTTTCGCCAGGCGGGCACTGAGGGGGCGCCCCCGGGGGGTAGTCCAAAATTTCGGGGCCTAAAAAGAGGGATTTTCCCGAAAGAGAAACCCCCTTTAAAGCCAAAACATAGTTAAACAAGGTCGATAAAAATCCGGGCCCTGGAAGGGGAAAAAATAAATTGTGAATCGTCTTTTTCCCTGCGCAAGAGACCATGCCCCTTTTGTTTAGTGGGGATTTTAGTGAATAGGGAAGTCACGTCGGGCTGGAAATTTTTCTTGTTCCTGATGTTTTGATGTTGCGAATGGGGTTTTGAAAGATCACCTGAGTGTTTGGGGGGGATGTGCTGGACTGATATGCCCAAGAGTTTTTGGGGAGGTGTTTGCGAGGAAATTCCCCAAAAGCTGGTGGGGGCAAATGCCTTATTCCCGAGGATATGGGCCCCAGTGGGTTTCCGGCTTGTGAGTCTTTGGCAGGCCGGACATTTTGGCTGGGGGGTGGGGTTGTGGGCATGGTGTTTCAGAAGTTTCTTTCCCCTTTTTCTGAGCCCCCCAAAAACGGCCCAGTCCTTGAAAAAAGTTTTAGTGAGGGGTTTTCCAATTTTGGGAGTTTGAGAGGTTTGAGGGATTTTGGGGGCATTAAGGAGATTAAGCATTTTGTTCCCGGGAATCGTCAGGGGTTTTATTTAAACAAAACCAAACCCCCTTTATCAGCGGGGGTGACCCGGGGGAAAAGGGGGGGGGTTTTTCTGCTTAAAAAACCCTTTTTGGGGCAAATTTATGTTTAAAGTCGAGGTAAAACTGGGGGGCTGCTTTTGAGATGGCGGGTGGATGATGCCTTGAAGATAGCCTTTTTGGAAGTCGGGTCCTTGTGTCTGTAAATTTTTTTTCGGTTTAAATTTAAAGGGCTTGTTTTGGTTTTTTTTTTAAATTTTTCCCGTTTTCAATTTGAGGCCTAAAACTGAGGGCTTCGTTTCTGTGGTTGGGCAGTGGACGAGATGAAAAAATTTTGAAAATTTCCGGTCTTCCTAAAAATTTTCCCCAAATTAAAATTATCGCCCGAGTGTTTGGGAGTTTTCCCAGTAAATCTGATCTTCTGTTTTAACATTCCCCCTGTGGTAACTCTGCTGCGAATGATTTTTTGGGCGGTGCGTCGTTCATGTTGCCCCGGATTTGGGGCCTAGTGTTCGGCTTTGGGGAAAAGCTTCCTTTTTAGCATTGTTTTAAATCATCTGCACATCTTCAAATTTGGTCCGAGCGGTAGCGGAGAAAGGTGGTTTGAAAGTTGGCAAATTTTAGGGGGGAGGGTTGGGAAAAAATGTGTTGGGTTTACGTGTTTTTTCTTTCGAAAATCACCTCTTTCACAGACTTTTGGGTTCCCATGGGGTTTGCCACTAAATGCGTCCTCGAAAACCCATACATGGAAAATTAGAAGCCCCAACGTTTCCCACCATTATTCCCTTTTGGCTGTCACCTGGCCCGTTATGTTTTTACGACTTTTTCCCCATAACTCCTAAACGCTTCAACGTTCAAGCTCTCCAAGACAAGCTCAACCAGGTCGAGCCTTCAATCCAATTCACACTTGAAGAAGAAGTCGACAACACTCTTCCTTTCCTTGATGTTCTACTCTGCAAAGCTGACCACGAACTTCGTTTTAAAGTCTATCGAAAACCCACCAACCAAAACGATTTCTCCACTTCTACTCTCACCACGACACCAAAACCAAACGTGGTGTAATTATAGGCTTCTTCCTGCGTGCACTCAGAATCTGCAGCAACGAGTTCCTTGAGGAAGAATGCACTATAATTGAACAAGTATTTTCCAAACTCCACTATCCTCGTCACTTCATCAGAGACTGCAGACGGCGAGCATTAAACATCTTCAACACACCCAGAGAAGACACTGCCGAGAAGAGATACATAGTCCTTCCCACCAACTCCATTGCCAAACATGTTTCCAACATCTTTGCCAAAACATCATTCCAAGTATCTACCTCCACAACCACGACCATCAAGGACATCACCAGTAGTAGACAGGACAAGCCTCCATCCTCTGCAGGGGTATACATAATCCCTTGTAATGACTGCAACAAATTATATGTGGGCGAAACATCAAGAGACCTCCAAACACGTATTTCAGAACACCAATATGCAAGCAGGACTGACGATACAAGGAATGCCTGTGTACAACATCGCAATTCACACAACCATTTAATCAACTACAGAAACTCAAGACTTATAGCCACAGAAGACAACACTCAATACAGAAGAATCCTGGAATCATCGTTTATCTCTATAACCAACAATTTCAACCAGAACAATGGCTTCTATAGCATAGCTGAACCACTCGCCAAGAAACTTCTTCATCGCTATCCCACATAAGAACATAGAACACTGCAGAAGGTCTACTCACAACTTGTCCAATATCCCCGCCTAGCTACCCAAGACTCTATAACCCCACCCGGTAGATCATCTGATGCAGCAATCTTCACCTGACCTCAACGTTCTGAACTATAAATACTCCCGTACCTTCCAACCCCAGGTAGATCCGTGTGTGACTTGAAAAAGCCCACTGCGTGGGTGAAACGTTGTCAATAAAGGATCACATTATACTGCATTTGTGTTTATATTTCCATTGTGTCGGTATTTTATACCATTTATTTCCACCAGGATTTACACAAACTCTATTCTTGGTCAGAAAAGTGGCAGATGCAGTTCAATGTAGATAAATGCAAGGTTCTGAAGCTCGGGAGTGCCCATAACCCTAGTACTTATAAGTTAAATGATGTAGAACTTAGCCA